ATTTACAGCATTCTTTCCAAAATGAGGCTGCAGATGAAAGAACTGTCCTTGTCCTGCGACGCCATATCTTGTGTCCTTTCGAGAAAGCAAAGAACACTGTGCAAATACCAATGCGTTCGCCACTTGCGAAAACGTGCAAATCCAGACGCTATACCGACGCCACCGAGGTTTTTGGCCGTTGAAGTCTATGAAATGCTGTTAAAAACCAATGCAATCCGCATGTGCGCGGCGCGCTTTTACATCATTTCGGACCGTTCTTCTTGTTGTTGTTGCTGCTCTCTGAGACTGTCTTATCTTGCCTCGGGCTCTGTGGAGCTAGGGATTCCGGATATGTTTCAGGCCTGGAAGAGCGTGCTTTGAAGAGGGTGGGGTCTTAAAGGGTGTTCAAGCATAAGGTTCGGAAAGACTTTCACCGGGCTTCACCGTTTGCGAGCTTGAATGGCGCCAGACCAAGTGGTGATGCGGCTCGAACAAGGCTTTCAACGTGTAGTCAGGCAGGACGCTTCATGCATTAATGATGGTTTCAGTTTCGGAATTGTTGCTTGGTTGAGTATGTCGTAGGTTTGGTAGTGATCTTCAATTCAGCTCAGTACGGGTTATGATTCTGTACATCTAAGCTGAGCCCTGCACAGATGCATCTTTGAAACTCACATGTGGCTTCCGTGTGTCGGCCGGGCACAGAGAATCAGTGACTCAGACTTGGGCTCCAAAATCCAAAACCTTCAGAACACACGCCTGAACCGTACTTATCAAACACGAAGAAACATACGTATCTTGGACCCAGACTAGAGAAGTGCTACAGAGGTTGAGCCTGATTCACTTTCGCTTCAAGCACAGGCCGTTCGCGGAATGACCCTGTCTCGCTCACCCCTAAGCAATCCGCCTGTCCACCAACTGTCGTCCCACCAGCTGCCGTCCCAGCCGTCCCAGCCCCAATCGCTCCAATCAGGTGGCCAGAACTCTTCCGGGGCGTGTGAAGCCTACGGGTTTCAGCTTCTCTCTTGGGGAGCTCAAGGGGGCAAGATATGGCAAGTCCTGCCGAGTCTTAACATGTCGTGAATCAGTGAACGGTGCGGGCATTGCAATGGCTAGCATGCCTGTCTTTGGCTCTAAGATGTGTTCGTCGTCATGGAAGTCATCGTCCCCATCATCGATCGCATAAACGAACCCTCCGCCTTCTCCTCCTCCTCCTCCTCCTCATCCTGCTCTCCTGGTCCTCCTCCTGCTCCTCCGCCTCCTCCTCCTCCTCCGCCTCCTCCTCCTCCTCCGCCTCCTCCTCCTCTTCTTACTCATCATCATCATCAACATCATAATCATCTTGAACATCATCACCCCACAAACCACCATCATGGAAAATCATCGAGAATCATCATCAACATGAAACGTTTCGTTAAGTTGCACTCGTCTTCACGATGACCATCACGAACAGTATAACCGCCCCCGTTTCTATCTCCATCATGGATGACAAACACCATATCCGTTACCATTGCCAACGCCACCACCAAAAACATCATCATCAACATCGTCATCATCATCGTCATCATCATCGTCATCATCATCATGTTTGTCACGGTTTGGCCACCATGCTGGGGCTCCTTCTCATGCAGGGCTCCACCCAAACCATGCAAGTGCTCTCTAAAACCATGAAACTCAACCGCGCCGATGCTTCGCCGGTTAGCATTGAAAGTACAGGTCTTGCTGGACAGTAAAGCGAGAAACATGAACAGCCTACACAGCTTGCAAATGCAAAGATGAATCGTCTTATGACCGTCGTGAGATTAACCACCAGTGGTTCAAAAGGTGTTGAAATCAGCATACCCTCGGCCGGATGGCCAAGCTTCTACGACTCATTCCATAATGAGACCAAGTCTTTGATAGTCCCAAACCACGTTCCCCAAGCCGCTTCGGATCTGTGTGAGAAGGGTAGATCCCAACATCAGGACGTCTACATGCTTTCGCTCAAGGGCCCTAAGAAAGTCTCAAAGAACCTGAAGTCCTCCTCACACCAACCCGACTCCTGCTCGGTTTTCGGAGTTCAGCTTGTCCAGGGATCTTTGTGGGTTTGGCATTCGTTCCTTAGGGTCCAGAGTTTGAGGGCCTACCCTCCATCCCCGTCCCACCATCGCCGCAGCCGGGTCTTTGAAGACGCTCTTCACGGGGGCTTCCTTGCCCTTGCCCTTGACAGCAACAACGTCAACCCAATCCTCAGAGACGAGTCTGGCGGGGAATCTCAGCCTTGAGGGTTTTGAGCCTTGAGCAATTATAGTACAGCGTTCAGGGTTTGGAGGTTTGCTGTAGGGTTTCCTGTAAGGACTCTGAGCATAAGATGTGGGAAATTGGGGCTTAGAGTTTAGACTGCTCAGCTCCGCTACGAGGTTCTTCTGGCTGGTTGTTGTTCCGGCAGGTGTCCACCATCACGAGCATACGCCCGACGTGACCACAGAACAGCCCTGTTTTGCAACCTTTGCGAGCCCTGCGGCCTCACCATGCCATGCCTGCATCGTAGCGACAATGTGAAAGAGCAAGCAACTCTGCATTTTCGAATATCTACACTGGAAAGAGATGTACTTTCATAGATGTAGGGGATTGAAGCTCAAGGTTCAGCAGGCTTTTATGACCGAGGTACCAAAAGGCATATCCGTCCCCAAGCACCCAGGGTCCTCTGCACAGGGTCTACCCGGAACCTTCACCATCTTTGCAGGTTTATAGGGCTTGCTCAGCTTGCGGAGAAGAACTTGCCAGTATCAGTTGGGCGGCCGTGCGATTTCTGCAGTCTTTGCAGATGCACCTCGGTGTGCTATTGCCAACTCAAAACCAGATCCTCCCGAATCCTCCCTCACTAAATCCGAAACAACTCTACGACTCGGCATGCTTGACAGGTTCGGAGAGGAAAGCGGAGCACTGTGGATCTTAAGGCAACCTGAGCAAATTGGCCAAACACAGGCGTGAGCTCAACCCAAGGATACCCGCAAGCCACCCAACCTGAAAGCATACGACCTTCAAGAGGCCTACCTCACAGTACTGAACATATGACTGATGTCCATCCGTATGAATGTTGTAGAACGCACCCCAGGCCGCTGCCAGGCAAGCTACGCAAGCTCACAAGCGCCAAAACCTGAGGCTGAAAGTAAGAACATCCTCGAGTCAAGGACCCGGCAAAACCAAGCTGCTGGAGCCCACCAGTCAGGTAGTTGGTACAAATGCATAGGCATAGATGCTGCACAAGTACAGGAAAAACCTTTGACAACCCTACCAGCTGGAAGATACTCTCGCTGCCCGGATGCCCAGGTAAGTGGTTCTTCGAGTTCTTGCATCCGCCACCGCCTCCACCAGAGGCGGGAGCAGTGCCGGCGGAGCCAGGAGGGCTTGCTGCGACAGGGGCAGCGGCGGGAACGCCCGCGGGTCCGCATCCGGCTGGGGCACCTGACTTCGGGATAAGTGGTCCACGGGTTATGAGAGTGTAGAGGGCGTTGAACTTCACCAATCGCAAAGCTATGGCCTCTGAAATAGCGCAGTTTCCCAGTGTCTGCCCAAGAGTTACTCTAGCAAGGGTCACGTCAGTACAAACAAACGAAAAACGGTGAAGGGCCCCAATTGGGACGCGCAGATTTGCAGTAATACCATTATAGACGTTGCTGCTGCCGCTGCTGCTTCGTCTATACTAGTTGTTGAGACCCTGAAACCTGCATCTTGAACCGCAACCGGCAAACATGTGGTTGCTTACAGGGAATCGAACAAGTTCCGAAGCATATGAGAGTTGGCATACACGTGTATCATTATATAACTATATGGAACGCTATCACAGAAATTACAAACCCACAGAGCCGTATAGCGTATCTGGTTTTCAAAGCCTTAGTGGGCAGGCAGGTCGGTCGGTAGGTCGGGAGCTCGGTCAATGGGTCAGAAGGTTTGCAGGTAGCAAAGGTGTGGGCAGGTAGGTGCATATTTAGATAGGTAGGAAGGGAGGCAGGTGGGTGGGCATGTAGGAGGATAATCATGTGGATACATAAGCAGATCGGCGGATAGCCATCATGGATAGATCGGCGGATAGGTAGTTAGGCAGCGCATGGGTAAGTCGGTAAGCAGGCAGGCAGGCGGGCAGGCAGGCAGGCAGGCAGGCAGCTACGTAGGTAAGTGGGTAGTTGAGCCGGTAGGTAGGCAATTAACAAAGTAAGTAACCGAAAGAAAGGATGTGGGTAGTCTGTATATGTATGTGTGGCTGTACGCATGTAAGCATCTATCTGTGCATGCATGCATTCGTATGTGTGTATATATATATATATAATATGTATATGTATATGTATATGTATGCATGTGTACACATGCCTATATGCGTAGACAAATCTTGAATAAACTTTCATACATAATAAGTGTGTACATATACATACACATACACACACACACATATGTACACACACATACATTCATTCATACATCCATGCACATGTACCTGCATGCATACTTTCACATACACATACAGATACAGACAGACACACAGAGGACGGACAGACAGACAGACTGACAGACATACATACGTGCATACATACGTGCATACATACTTACATACATACGTACATACACACACACACACACTACAGAAGACACACGACAACAGACACATTACATAAGACACAAGACACATAGACATGCACACACGACAAAAGCAGATGATACAGTTGTGGAGTATACCGTTATGCTACAACTTTGGTCCGACCTGCCCACACCACCCCACCCCACCCCCCCACCCCACCACCCCAGACCCACCGCACCCCACCCCCCACCCTCACCCCACCACCCCAGCACCCACCACACCCCACCCCACCGACCACACCCCACCCCACCCACCGCACCCCACCCCCCACCCCACCACCGCCGCCCTCACCCCACCCACACTCGCTCTCGCTCTGGCTCTCTCGCTCTCTCGCTCTCTCGCTCTCTCGCTCTCTCGCTCTCTCGCTCTCTCGCTCTCTCGCTCTCTCGCTCTCTCGCTCTCTCGCTCTCTCGCTCTCTCGCTCTCTCGCTCTCTCTCTCTCTCTCTCTCTCTCTCTCTCTCTCTCTCTCTGTCTCTCTGTCTCTGTCTCTGTCTCTCTGTCTCTCTGTCTCTCTGTCTCTCTCTCTCTCTCTCTCTCTCTCTCTCTCTCTCTCTCTCTATCTTTTTCACACCGATACGCAGACGCAGATCCAGAAAGCATGCATACACACACACACACACTTGTTCACACATGTATACATGCAAAGGCCCTCACATACATGACTGCAGGTACAAACCGTGCCAGTACATACGCACACAGAGATACATGCATACATCCATCCATACATACATACATACAGACATGCTTGCATACCAATTATGAATGCGTTTTTGAATACATACATGCGTACATGCAGCATGTATTCATACATACCACGGTGTGCAATCGAACATGTGTGTATACGTCAGTATCCAAGTCCCGATCGGGGCATTCGGAGCACCGAGAAAGTGACTATTTAGCCGGTTGCTGGTGCTAGTGCCGCTTTGGCTCTAGCAGTACCACCATGCCCAGAGTGGTCCAGTGACTAGTGATGAATCTGAACTGTACCCGCGTCACCTGCACCAGGGGCAATCCCACCGCAGCTAGCCAGGGTCGGAGCTATCACCGGGAGACCTGATCGTTCACACATTTCGTCTGCTCTTTACTCTAAACCCCTATCTCGCGTGAACGTCTTCATCGGAAATCTACCGCTCTACACGACAAGTTCGAGGGTGCCAACTGACCGTTTTCAGAAGCGGCCACTCTCGAAATGACGAGATGCACCGGTTTGTCAAACTAACGGTAGCGACCGTAAGAAACACACATCAAGCCTCATCATTCTGATGCTCACGATGCTGGACATTGCACAACTAACTTCATCGATAAAAGCGCTTTCAGGAAGACCATAAATTCAGAAACCGATAAGAAAACTCAGCCAACTCTGTGCAGGGGCTGACTCCGCCATTAGCAGCGCGACAGGCCTGTCCGGGCCATGAGGCAAAGGCTCTTTAGTTCTTTTTTGAATCCATAGATCAAAGCGAACATGTTCAAAATGAGATGTTGGGCGCCAATACGAACCTGCTGCGTGTTTGTGTAGTTACGGGTGGGGTCGTTGTGGAGGGGCTCTATGTGCCACCAAATGTAATTCCTAGCTTGAGCATCCAGCTGGACTGAGTCACCAAACACAGCGGAGCGCTGCGCGTCTCGTGCCGTCGTCTCTGAAAAATTAGTTCGCTGTCCATTGCTGCCGTGGGGGCGGGGCTTTCTCATTGCAGGTGCTACCTGTTTGCTTTTCGGAAGCGGCCCAAGCGCAGTCCCACGCGCAGGGTCCTCTGTTTGTGGGAAGCTCTGGTCTCATGCTTGCCACGCTATTCGCGGACTCCAATTTGCAGGACCGTGTTTTTAGAATGACAGGCATCGCGCAGGAGAAGTACGGTTTCGCACCCTACATAGAAAGAACTAGACATGCTCGTGCAGGAAAGTCCAGCAACATCAAGCCTTGCCCCCACACCCTGACCTTGGCAGCACCCCAGCAACGTCAGGGAATTGTTCTCTTTTACCAGTTGCCTTGCAAATGCAGCCAGGTAGATGGCCGCGTCCCCGTCCAGCGCCAGTGGCCATCGCTCTTAAAAGGTGCTGCAGAGAATAACAAATGCTGCTTGAAGGTTCGGGTTTAAGTGAGGTTCTGGGTTTTGGAGGTCTGGGCTTTATGGGTTGAGCTTTGGGCTTGGTTCGGAGCTCGTGCAGATCTTGGAAAGCTGGGTAGGCTGTAGGTGGCCCAGTCGTGCAGTCCGGGTACATCAGTGATGCATACAGGGACGACACATGCGATATAGCACAACAGCTTGCGAGAATGGCGGCCGCTAGGGCAGCAAACAACAATCCGGTTAGTATTCTTGTTGTTGCTTGGCCGGCCTCTGGTGAATTCTTCGTGGCTCGGGGTCCCGGCTTCGGGTGTGTGCTTGGCATGACTGTTGCAGGACCTCTCTGTGCTACGGACCCCCGCTGTCCCAGTAAAGCATATTCACTGCAGGATCCACGAGCCAGGGGCCAGAAGAAAGGTCATCGACCGGCGATATCAAGTCCGGATGCAATTAGTTAGGGCTCCTCCGATTGTGCTGGAGTGAGACTTGTAGATGGTACTTCACACCCATTGAAACAGGCAGCACGAGCTTTGACAACGAACGCATAGACTCTGACAGTAAGTCTGTGCACCTTGAATCATTGGGGATGCACCCTGCAGCCTACTTGCGGAAGCCCGAAGCGAACCTCTTGTGGAAAGCTCTGTCTCAGATCTGTCCCTGTGAGAAATCTCAAAGCATTCGGGCAGGTTCAGATGATTACTTATGCGAAGGATCGGGGGGCGTAACCTCAGCTGCAAAGACGAGAAACGCAACATAATGATGACACATATCGATGCTCCTTCATTTACCCTCTCCCCTCCGTGCCCGAAGCCCTGCTGCTTAGCGCTGAGAACCGCGAAATTCAGCACCAGCAAAAACTCCCGTTCATGACACTACAGACCCCTGCGACGACCTCTAATACATTATTCCGTATTCCACAATCGGAAACCTGCTAGGAGGTACAAGTGCCGTTGCTTGTTGGGCTTGCCGGTTTCGGGTAGCGGGGAAGAATTCTATGGTTTAGGGTTAAGGGTGAGGTCCCTTTGGATTCAGAGCCCTTCAAGGTCAGTCTGGCGTTCTAGAGGCGTTTTGGCGCGTGGGGATGAACTGTTAACATCTTGTTCAATCGAAGCCGCCATGAACCCATCGTTATGCATTGAATCTCTCACGCCCGGTACACCGCACCCCAGGGCCAACCCCAACGGAAACGACGAAGGACGAAGGACCGGCCTGCGCGAATTGCCCCATGCTGCGATGCCTCAAGCACTTTCTATCACTTTCTCCCAACCCTATCGAACCTAAAACCAGAATAGGACGGTGCGATCTAGTCGGTCTTGCTGGAGGGACTATAAGAGATATAGATGCTGCTAACTTGTCAGACACCTTGTCAGGCCCTAACTTGCGGTCTTTGCGATACTTCTGACTGCAAATGCAACTTTGTGATGAGGGTACCGTTTAGCCTTTTCCTGCGAACTCGTACCAGGCGAGAGAAGTGCCATAAGGGAAACTCCACATTAGAACTCCCACTAAGCACAAGACAACAGGCCTCGCCTCGTCAGTGATCTCTTCCAGGCTGTCGCGAACCGAGACAGAGCCTTACCAAGACAGGCCGCGAGAAACCCTTGAACCTCAATACGGACTCTGAGTCGGAAACCAAGGCTTAGCAGAGTTAAGACAACAAGGTTGTCGAGATTCGGCTGGTGAGGACAGTATCTGAAGGAGTCAACGAAGTTGAGGTGACGCTATTCATGCTTGATAGACGAGAGCATGCCGCACAAATGCCGTGCAGCAAACATTTCCGATGCCGGAGCTCTCAATGTCTTTCAGGCTTGAGGCAGCAAGGGAGTACGATGGCCACCCCCCATGAACTTCGAACGGAATGGCTCAACAATGTGCTTTGTTGTTGCCGCTGTTGCGGCTGTGAACCTTAAGGAACCAGCATGCTGCAGTCGGAAACAGAGCAACCATCTGCGAAGCACTGATGCAAACTATGACTATCTATAGGTGTTGCATTCTGTGCTAGAGAGGTGGATGGGCTTTGCCTGAGCCTAATTGGGCTTGGAAAAGGCCCTTCGACATGCAGCAACCAGCGCCCCCGGCCTATGGAGAGGAGTGCGAATACGGCCCATTGCCGTGTCAGCAAGGCCATGCCATGTGCCACACCTGAGAGAGCGAGGACTCCGAGGACTGGGATCTGGGAATCTGGGGTCTTATTATTATTTCCCGTATATGGCTCAAAGGGCTTTACGGCATGGGGGTATTCGGGTCTTTGGCATCTGGAACCTGCTCCTTAAAAAAGCAAGCGCTGGAGGATGTCGAAGTGATTGTAGGCAAGGGTGCTGACAACTCATCGCATGCTCTGGGGATTTTTATGGCTCAGGTGGGAAGTTAAAATGTCGGGGATTCGGCTTAGGCTTCAGGACTAGTCCGTAACACCGTAAAAACCGAAATGAGGGTAGGGATCAGGAAATTTTCCAGCCTGTGTTCAAGGTTGACGGTGTCTGGTCTAGGCTCGCTTAGGTTTAAGGGTCTGCAGCATGGTCTATAGGCAGAAGGTAGTGTCGCCGAACTTAGGGGCCTTGCAATCTTTAAAATGTCTCCAAACCCTGGCAACCCCAGTCCCATGCAGGTCTTCTGCGCCTGGGCCAGAAGATGGATACCAGAATGCCTGCAGCCAGGCACCCCTCGATACTTAATGCTTTCTGCCCTGAACTGAGCCTCATGGCGGTCTAGGCGTTGGGATTCACTTTGGCAAAACAAAGCAGTCCCGGAGCTCGGGTGGCACGCTCAGTCTAAGGCCTATAAAGAGACTCCTCGGAGCAGTTGTCGAGAGAGGCCGATATAAGGCCCTCGCAGGGAATAGATTAACTTAGCTCCTTTACGCAACCCGGAACCAAAACGATTAGCTACACCAGCTTCGAGGCCGGAAGCCAGGTTTGAGAATCAGCGGATTGCCGCAGGACCGATACTAGCTAAAGACTACTGCAACGTCCGATTCTACACCACCATAGCTTTGCAAGCCAGACCCAAAGTTCAGGCCCGAAACCGAGGCCGAGGGGCCCAGACCGATGCAGGCGGCTCATGCAGGCATGGGCGTTTTGAAAACACTATCTTCGCTTCTCAAAGCGTACATTCTTATTCAACCGTGGTCCCTAACCCCCACACTGCAACTCGATCCCGAGGCTCGGAACAAGGCTCCCATTTGAGCGCCCAGCCTTTTGCAGACCAAAGCAGGATTGAGCAAAACGGCCTTGGAACGGCCGTGGCACGGCAGAGCTCAGGATTCAAAGCTTGAGGAGCTTCGTGGAATCCCGGCGATACAAAGCCGGGGCGGATTCGGAGGATTTGCCAGCGCCATTGACAATGTGGAGGCTGAGGGCTTTGTGAAAGCTCCACTAGACGACTCGGGGTTTAGGATTTGAGTGTTGGGTTCACGAGGCTGCAGTACCTCTCGGAAACCCGAATCCGACACGGGAAACGGCTCTGCGTCGAGGTTTACGTTCGGGATCTAGGATGCTGTAGGCGGCATAAGGCTTAGGGTTGGGATACACCTTTGAGGGTTCCATGTTTTCAGGAAAAAGCACGAAGTGTTCCGATCTGAATCGGAAGACTTGAAACCGCAAGGCGTGAGGCAACATCCCTGCATATGCCGCATGTACATAGCCTTGCAGAGGTTTCGGGAGACATCTGCGTGTGTGCGCAGGATAACTCTGGAAGAGCAGTGGGACAAGAAATATTCCGCTCAGCGCAATTCTGCTCCGGCAGTGTGCAGGCGAAGCCACGAGGAACCCAAAGCCTCGACGCCAGTTTCAGATCTTTAAGTGACTGCGTACCCTGAGGCATCTGCCTGCGCGCCGAGAGGGTCTCTGGGGCCGCCCCCGAACCCTCTTCGAGCCACATGCGACAGGCATAGACAAAAGTTGATACAGCCATGGCTTCAACACCTCGGTGTATCGTTGTACATATGTTTGCGCCCATGTATGTACGCATGTATGTATATGTCTTTTATCAGTGCGGCAATCATGAGGACTGCGTGTAGGGAGACCACTCTTAGTACCATTTAGGATATGTGCTGCATTGTTTCTCAATGTGACTGTTGCGGAGCTTGCGTTTTCGGTCGTAGCTTCATGTGACACATGCGGAAGCCTTGGCCTTGTCGTTTGAGCAGAACAGCTACCCTTAGAACCATTATTCAGGGACAAAGGTGTAGGGTACCTTATAGCCTAAGCCCTTCACAACCTGCTGGAGATGAGGGTTTTAAGGCTTCGGGTAGTCAGGGATCAGTTGTGGGATTGATTGCCTCAGACTGTCATTCAGGGGGCCGATTCGACTGGCACGTTGAAGCGCAGCATCTTGTACTTCGTGTATGGAGGTTGTAGTGGAAACATGTTACGAGGGCTTCGCAGACGGCTTTGGATGATTCAGGGTTGTGAGCTTTACATCGCCACTCCGTTTGGTACTCTCGTGCCGACCTCGGGTCTTTCTGCTGTCTCAATTAGCAAAACACGAAACCCATCAGATCGGGTTTCCGCTTGTCGGCGTGCTGTCTGCAACAGGTGCTACCGCGCTCAAACCAGAATCCGAAACCCTAACTAAAGTAGTATCTGGTCTAAACCCTGAGCTCAACTTCCAAAGTCGAGGACCCAATATAAAGAGACGTTTGGCCATAAATCATCAACGATACTCAGGGTTCGAGACGAGCTTGGGACTTCTGTTGGCTTCAGGATTCCCAAAAGCTCGGGCTCCAGAGAAGCGGCTTCAGGTCATAATTTCAAGGGTCATGGAGCGGCATTTGGGGCCTTTTTCAGATGAAGCTCACCACTGGGCTGGATCATCCGCAAAAGCCCCAACTGAAAACACTAAGACCAGCAGCTCCGTATTGTATCAGGGTAAAAACCCAGATCCGCAAGCATCCTTTTTCCGTGCAGAGCGCTGTCCGACCGCGATTCCGTCCGGGGCACTAGCTCTAACGACGCCACAATCCTGCAGATGACGGGCAGTTGCTTTCAAATTTTGCTAGGACCGCTAGGATTTCGATTTCGTGTTGAAGGGTTGAAACATGAGTGGGCGCAGGATTGTAAGTGTCGCAGTTGCAAGGTCTTCTAAGTATTTGCCGTTTAAGGCTGTGGTACTTTACTTTGGGGTCTCGGAGCGGGGTTGAGGGCTCGGTTCTTGGGACGGTCCCTGGAATCAGAACCAGAGGCAAACTCCCGCAGAGATTCTGGCCGGAATGTTTGGACCGCGACCTCCCGAGTCTGAAACCCTGAAAACTAGACATCGAAAGCCCCAAAGTAAGCGTGTGCGTGTCTGCCGCATGGCGCGGGGGTTCGAGTTTACAAATAAGACTTTGTGTACGAGTTGAAGGGTGCTCCATTCGGATTGAAACCGAAATGCATGTTCGCTCTGCCCGGCTACTGGTGTGATGCTCCAGCACAAACCCCTTCGGTGATTTGTTTCGGACCGTTTTTGCAACGTGCTGTAGCAAGTCGGAAGCCGACACGAATAGCTCCAATAAGTTATGTCCATACTTCTGGCCTCGAACCCTCAGACAGTTTGCCACAGACATTGGCGTTGCGAACTTCATCTTCGATCGCTGCTCAAACAGCAGATTCAAGGCGGTGGGGTTCTTGGCATAACTTATGGCTCATCTCTGCGGCTGCAAACATGAAGGACCATCGGCAGAGTCTCTGAGTCTTTGTGGCAGCTCTGTCCCACCCTGGAACCATCGACAAAGATACTCGAGTGTGTCCAGCTGCCAAACCGAAAATCTCGAACCCTGAATGCGCAACCACACCTCAAACCTCGTCAGCCATGCAATGTTCCACCCTATTTGCCAGTCGCACTGCACTGCCTCTCAGGCCCCAGCGCCGTGCAACGTTCCGGTTAGAGCAGTGCTCGATTGAGACTTAAAGGCTTTGAGGGATGGAAACACGAGGCCACTCCCTGTCTGCGTGTGTGTGTGCGTCGGCTTGTTTGCGTGGCTTGGTTCGGGAGATCGAACAAACGATGAAGAAGACTGTTGCGTGGCTGCAGACACCTCGCAACCTTCAGTCCTGAACCTGTAAACTCGAGCTTCTACCCCCCAAATCCCACAACACTCTCTTAAGTGTGAAACGAATATGCCCCAGACTCACAAAGCTTCCAAGGCCTAATGTCGAAATAGCACCCCAAAAGCCACCAATCCATGAGTTCAGATACCAAGAAAACCTCCAAAGTCCTCAGAAGCGGTTTGCCTAGTGCACGAATGAAGTTTAAACCCGGAGAAAGCATTCGTCGTTGACTTTTGCCACCCAGCCTCGACCCACGCAGCACTGGAAGGGCACAGGTGGGCGTTCAGAACCCACCCCGAAGCTGCAGCACCATGTGGACCTTCGAAGCAAGATGAAGAATAAACAGAGAATGGCAATGACACTAACAATGATACCAAGCACGCAAAGATGGCCATGTGGCCATGGACATAGCAACAACAGCAAGCAATATGCTGCTGCGACTTCTTGCAAGTCTGATTGGCAAGAGTAATTAGCTGTGTGGTACACGATTGCATGATCACAGAAGAGACAAGATAGACAAGAGAATGCCGATAACACTAAGTCTGGTAGACTATGCCAACAGTTGCACTCAAACCAGACCAATACCGCGCTTTGTCTTCAAGGACACAAAGGCAGACCAGCATCGCAAAACCCCGGCGTTGGCTACCCACCCACGCGGGCCAGAGGGCACGAGTCTTTGAGCGGCTTGTTCCTGCTTCTAACATCTTCCGGCCTGCTCCTCTGTCTGGTAAATTTCCAACGGTTTGCCGCTACTGTGATCCAGTTTTTTCCAATTTTGCTCCTCTTGCTCAAATTGCAAGTTTTAGATTTTTCAGTTGCGTTCGAGGTTTTGCGGGTATTTCTCGACTGTTCTAATCCTATTCGACTGAATTCCTCTGTTTAAACTCGAAGACAACAGTAACAAACAACTTACGCACAGCAAAACTGCCTGAACGCAACCGGCAGTGAGAATGAATGGCACAGAAACCCGAAACACTGAACGAGAAACCCAGCAGGCCCTTTTGAGGCCCCAACCTATTCACCCAAAGCCCAAACCACTACGAACAATCAATCCTCGGCTTGGAAAGCCCACACCCTGAAGCCGTAATCCGCAAGTTCG